ACACACACACGCACACACATCCTAGTTCGGGGGTCTGCAACCTGCGGCTCTGGGGCCACATGTGGCTCTTTGTTCCCTCTGCAGTGGCTCTTTGAAAATGTGACCAAACATAACAGAATACATTTTTTGTTGTTGTTGTTTTTAATACTCACAACAGAAATCAATTTGTATGCAAATATGTGATCAATACTACTAATGCAAAAAGTAAAACACGTTAGCTCATGCTAGTCTGTTGTTTTTTGTATAACTAATATCTAGCCTTTTGTTTACTTAAACATTAATGAAATTTGGTATAAACTACATGCAGTATTTTTCTTGTTTACATGAATGGTATTTTTATTTGTCCTGATATGTATAATAATAAATAATATAACAATAATAACAATATTTTTTTTAGTTTTATAATGTCACCTCCACTGACCGTGATGGTACCCGGAAAGGCCTTGAAAAGGCCCATGGACCACCAGTTGATAATCACAGTTTTAGCTTGTTTTGCAACTCTGGACACATTTTATTAGGGAGACAAGAAGCACAATTGACTCTTTTGATTGTAAAAGTTGCAGACCTCTGTCCTAGTTGCATCAAACTGAGGACATTATATCGACTTCCATTCATTTTTGCAACTGCATTCAAGCCTAACCCAGACATTTTCCCTAACATTAACCTTTACTGATCTATACCTGACTCTAACATGAACCAAAACTTAATTCACACCATACCTAAACCTAACGAGTTAGACGCCAAATATCACATGGAAGAAAAAATGATCTCAATAGTGTGAATGCTGTGAAGCATTCACACAACTAGTAGAGCTCAGTTGAACTGCAAAAAAAGTGAGGACTGGGGAAACGTCCCCGCTTCCTAAAAACGACCTCACTTAGTTGGTTAAAAATCCAACATGGTCCTCAATCTGTAGCAAAAACAAGTACACACACACACACATATATATAACAGAACAGGATAAAGTACTTCCAGTGACTAAATTTGCTGTTTACCTTATACTCCCTTGATCTCCAAGAGTATCAGCTGATAAACAGCATTAGAATTACAAAGATTGTGTACAAAGAAGAGGTCTCACTTCAACATAAACTGTAGGTGTGTCTTTCTGGTGCATTTCTGATTTAAACACGTTTGTTCTTCATTCGTTGAAAGTATTTACAGTGGATAGAGAGTATTCTGAAAGTTTACTCAARCAAAAAGTAGCAATTCTTCATAATAATATAACTCAAGTAAAATAAAAAGCATAGTGTAGTAAAACTATTGTATACTTTTATATGTAACCCACCATAGTTTAAGGCCTGTCACATTATAAAGTTAGACAATTTATGCAGATTTTGTCCAGAACTGAAGATATATTGAAGATGAAATAAARCAAATCTACTGGAAAACTCTTTTAGATGTCCACATACTGTAATGTTAATAAATTTTAAAAAATGTAACTTGAATGGAAAAAAAAGTAACTAAATTTTCATGAATCAGCATGTGTTGTGTAAAACGTTATAGTGCCACAGAGCCTTTAGCATCAGATCATCGCTCAGTTTTGCAACATTACAAACAGAWACAACAGCACTAAATGAGTTTAAAAGCAAAYACGTTTAATTTAAAGAAATGTTGCRTCATTTTTTAACACCTGTTATTTACGTACTGAGGCACAATTCTTTCCATTCTGCTTCACAGCATTGCAACACAACACAGATTCTTTTTTTTAGTCAACCAATGATTGCTCTTCGACAATCATCAGAAAGTTGTCTAAAAGAGKCTGAAATGGCGAAGGATCACAAAACGAATTATTATTTTTTACATCTCCACAATAGCCAACAAATCAGAGTTATTTCATGACCACTGATGCAAAATAATTTGGAGTTTTGACACTGTCGAAATGAACAAAGTCAATTTAAAAGCCAACCAACATCACAGTACTGTTGTGCAACCAAACTCATCAGCCCTGAGACAGTGGAGACGTTTTTTTTTAAGTTTTAAGTGTTTTTTGTTTAATACCACTAACTGTTAATTTGACATTTTAAAGATTAGCGTTGCAATCAAATACAGAGAAGTAATTTTCTGTTGTTTTTGAGGAGAAAAATGTCCATTTAGCAGATAAATTTTACATGTGTGCAATCTGCACTGCAGATGAGTGTGGATGAATGAACAGCCGTTACCTTGATGCAGTCTCTGTTGCGCTGCAAGGACATCATCTCATAGCAACCCTCTGAAGAATCTGCAGGAGAACACATCATTGTTCTGAATGTGTCTACATGTGAAGTGCAGTTAAGATCTAAAACAGGAGGGAAGCAAATAAACTGCAAGCAAATCTATGCTGTTTATAGAAATGTGTGTATTTTCAACCATTTTGGAGGAATTGATCCAAAATATTTCAGTTTATTTTAATTCTCTTTCATTTTTAATAATTTTTTTGGGGGAATGACCAACTTTGTGGAAATATTTAAAAAATCATGCTTTTACGAAACCTTTTTTTCTCTTCAAGTCTGAGTCATACCACAGTAAACACATTCACAGATTTCCCCCTTTTTCTCCTTCAAATCAGTGACAAACAGACAGCATGGGTGCTCTCACCGTGCCACTCGGTGCTGATGTTGCCATAGATTGGATTTTCCTGTCGCTCGTGATGATTGTGGGGATTTTCTTGCTCCCCTCGGTGACTGATGTCACAAACRTATTGCCTTTCTACCTGTGATAAACTGCAACAAGACAGGGGGGAAAGAAAAACAATTTACCAGCTCTGTCTGGTGTGATTTATAGGTAAAACGTCAAATAATGGTGTGAAAAATGTGATTGCTGACTAGACATCAGCATGTTTTTGAGTGTTTGTGAAACATACGTGTCTTCTTCTGAGTTGTCATGATGGCAGCACCTCTGTTTGTCTGCGTGAACAACAAATGCAACTGTTTACATAAAAAAAACACAATCATACGGAAAAAAGACAGCTTTGTTTTTTAATTTTCTTTACCTCGGCACCAAGAACCTCGTTGCCTGATGCACAGAATGAAGTTGAGGCAGACAGAGATGAACAAGGCCAGAGACACCAGAGTCAGTCCCAGTACACTCATGTCTGAAACAAAGAAGCACTTTTCCAACTTACTCTACATTAAAAAGTTACGTCATCAATCAAAATATTGAAAATTTCCAATATTAACTTTGAAAAAAATAACTAAGGATGTAATTTTTTCAAATTAAACTGTAGACAAGCGTAAAACAAAGCTCTTTATAACAAATCCAGTTCAGCAGCTTTGCGATGAGCTACCACACTGCAACAAATTTGACATGCAAAAAAAGTTTTAAAATATTGTCYGAATCGTCTCAAATTTAATGAAATAAYCTGCCAGTGTATGAYGACAACTGCGCTTGATAAGACTAATTGAAATAAGAAMATTTTCAAGATTAATAATCTAATAAATTACGTGCTTGCTTATTAGTCTCAAAACAAAATCAAAAATACGTTTTGGCTCAATATAAAATTGTAAAATGGCTAGATGGACAATTTTTGCAGCGTAGAGTGAAAAAAAAGCTTTATGGTCGATAAAAGGTTAAATATTCACATAGTTTGTAAATGTTCTTTTTAAAGTAGGTTTCCTTTAAAAAACCCTACACTGCCACCCTTGCACTTTAATTAATTTTCTTGTAAGTTTATCAGATTTTCATGCGATAAAAGCAATAAGGCATTTAGTGACGCGTGAACTCATTGTTGCCAACTTTCTGTTTAGTTTGGTGTAAACTTAAACTGGTTTGTTTTTCCCCTTTTTGATTATTTCTTTGGCATGTGATGTGGAAATGAATTTACTTGTGTTTTCAAGAAATATATTATTTTCTTAATGTTATATTAAAAAAATAGAAGAAAGAAAGACAGGAATATGTCTATCTGGAGAAGAGGTTTCTGAAGATATATCAGATCTTACCGGTCATTTTCCAGTGCTGTCCAACTGAGCAACTTTTCTGCCAGACACAATTGTTCTCAGGCTGTACGAAGCAGATCTGTGTTCCATGAGTGAGGTGTGCTCTTCACTGTAGTCTATTTTTACCCCTGCCTTCGTTGCCTCTCCGCGTGCTTTGAAATCTGCCTGCTTTTCAGTTACAAACAGGAAACATTGTAACCTCGTTTTGAGGGAGGCAGTCTCAGAGCCACAGCGGTACAACAGCATTTCAGAAAGACTGGCGTGTTATTGTTCTAACTTTAAACCCCAGTTTTGCCTGTTTGTAATTCATTTTTTAAAATTTTATTTACAGTAAGCCTTAATTACAYGAATTACCTTGTATTTTCTGTGACATCCCTCTCACAAAAAAAAAAAGAAAATGGAAAAATGTAAACAAGCATCGGAAATTGGTTAGAACGCTGCGTTAAAACCCAATCTACCATGTAAATGTGCACAAGGCTGTGATTTTCTGCCATTTGCATCTCGCACAAACAACTTCTCATTTGGCTTGTGCGGTTGAACAATAAAATCAGTAGTTGTGTATTATTTTATTTACCCCAAAAACACAAAACTTACAGTACAGCGTGTGAGGCTGTAATGCAGCACTTATTCAAACAAATCAGTCTGTAATAGGCACGACTAAAACATAAATATATTAACACCAGTTTAAAATCAAAGCTGAATGGAAGGTGATTTAAAAAAATATTTAAGATAAACTGCAAAAACCACATGAAATTTTAGAAAAAAAACAAAAGCAAACAACGGTGTTGGTAGCAACAGCAAAGGTTTGTTGTTGATGGCTTGTTGTGATGGCCCCTGAACAAATGTGGTTTGTGGTTTTAGCCTCATTTCGTCAACACAAGTGCCATACTCTACCTGTGGACAGCTGTGGTCCGATAACTTACAGTCGTCTTTGAAGGGTGCACAACCTAARTAAGTGATGGTGTACCTCTGCCAATTTTGTACAAGCAAATCTTTTGAGGTTCATACCCACAAACTAAACATGCCTTTTATAAAATGGATCTTGAAAATTATTCACCTCCTGAACAGTCTTCCTGTTTTGATGTCTAAAAACGATTTAATTTGAGTTTGAATGTGTAATTTAATATGTAATATTTTACAAAAATACTCCAGAAGAGGATGAGCAGGAACTTTTTGTCCACTCTTCATGACCAAACTGCGACAGCTCAAGATTCTTAGTTCTGACTAAGCAATTCAAGGGGATTTAACAATTTAACCATAAACCATTGAACTGTTGTTTTAGATGTGTGTTTTGGGTGGTAGTCCTCCTCGAAGCTGAACCGCTGCCCCAGAGTCAAWTATCTCTMCAGCATGATGCTGCCACCACCGTGCTTCACTGCAGGGATGCAGTTCTGACTGAGAAGTGCTAGAATGGAAATACAGGGACTACAGCATCAAATGTGTTTACATTTGTTTTAATTTCACTCTGTCCTGAGTGAATAAAATGAATGAATAGATGGAATTAATTGTGCTCCATGAAATGTTCAAGGTTGTGGGATAAATTTTATTTTATTTTTACCAACTCTGGCCTGTGTGGAGAACTCCTTGATCATCATGTTGTCGCTTCCTCGGTGGTAAAAACCCCAGTGAATCAATATATTTATGGGGGCTTTTACAATGGGTTTAGATAATCTGACCCATTGATTTCCCACAGGTGGATCTTATTTAACTATTAATGGGGTTTCACAGAGCAATGACTGGGGCTTTGATGCAAAGGAGGCTATTGATTTTTTATCATTAAATTAAAAATCCAATGAAAGTCCAGGTTCAAAGGCAACAAACTATAAGAAATTTCTATAAAGCCATATAAAACAGGTTTTTATTTTCCACAAAAAAGCTAATTGAAATACATTTTGTACAAAACACACATTGCGCATATTTCTGAAATAATGAAAACACGTTAAACACAATAACACTGGTGTTTCCAGTATTTTAACTTGTATTTGCACTAGTTTACTGATGAAAACACGTYTTCTGATTCTCATGAGAGACGTGTTTTGATCAGACAGTTCCTGTGACTGGTTTTGAATGTGCGCAGAGTAAAACAGCCCGCAAATGAAAGCTATATCTTCTACCAGAGCGACCCCCACCCCCCTCCAAACAGGAAACCACTTTCAACAAATCTCCACGGCTGCAAAAGCAACGTCTACAAGCTGTTACGTCTATATATATGATTGTCTCGTGTCGCTGGATGTTGCTATGGAGTTGCACCTCGAAATGGGAAAGGTCTGCAACGAGGCCTCGCTCCGCCTGGCTGCTGTGTACTTCACCGGGACTGGAGGAGGTTTGAAGGGAGGCGGGAGGTCCAACCTGCAGAGGGGTGGGGGAGAGAGGGAGAGCAGACGTGTTGGTTGGTGGCATTCCTGGACAGTGGAGAGCTCAGCTGTGATTAGGTTTAAGGAGAAATAACGGTGGGATTTGTACCTCTCCAGTCTGATCTGTCTCCAGTAGAGAAAGCCGACCACCACGATCACCAAAAGCAGTGAAACGACGAGCAACGCTACAATCAGATGAGTGCGGCTGGTACCTATAGAGCAGAGAAAAAGTTTTATTTGGAGAACGGAAGCTACAGAAAAAATAATTAATTAAAAATCCCAACATATTGATCATTTCGCTCCCAGATGCCACAAAACACTCAATAAACGCAACGCTACAAAGGCAAACTTCTTGCCTCAGGGCAGAAAACTTCCTCATAATCCTCTCCTTCGGTTGGCTGTGCACTAACTTTTAGGTGCTTCTAATGAGATTTCCACCTGACGAGGCATTTCGCCTGAGGCTTAGAAAACTGGAGTCTGTAAAGGTCCCACATGTGAGGAAGCTGTAGGTTGGGGAAAGACAAAGGGAATTTTCCTAATATTCACCAGTGGTTTGCCTTTTGAGTGTGTGGTTCAGCTGTAATTATGCGCTGTTCTCCAACTGCTTTTAATTATTTTTACTTGAACTCCCCGTTGCGTGGATGTGATAGTCACAAACAAACGTATCCACAGTGATGCCAGCCCCCAAAGGCGGGGAATGTGGTATTCGCAGCACGGCAAATGTGGCTACAGGATCCCACATGGAGGCCGATAATAAACGCGAGACTTATTGAATGTTACCTTTGTTGACAGTGACAGACACTGTTATTTTAACGCCCTCCGTTGGGGTTGAAGGAGGATTTTCGGAGCGCTCAGAAACATTTCCCATGGTGCTGACTTCCTCCGTGCTGACTGAGAAAAAGTCTCCTGTTTTCGGTGTGTGAGGCCTGGACTTGTTCCTCATCTCCTCACTGACCGTTTCCTGTGTGGAACTGGAAGCAGCGGTGGCGTTACTCGACGTGGTAAAGTTGAGTGAGGGGTAAGTGTTCGAGTGCGTGCCGGGGGACGATGGGACACTGGTAGGTGGTAAACTGGTCGAAGTGGTTAAGATCTCTACGTCTGGGACTGTGACATCGCTGAGGTTCGGAGGGGTGGTCCAGGCCACTGGAGTGGAAAGCTCAGTGGTTTGTAGAGTCGTAACGCTGCTGTGTGCTGAATCAGTCAGAGCTTGTGACGACAATGTCACAGGGTCTAGAAGAAGAAGAAGAAGAAAATAAAAAAAAAAACAGTCATAAAATTATTTTTGTGGATGGGGTTTGATGAATAAAAACTTAAACTAAAAACTAAAATCCTTTAATTTTGTATTTTATGTGTTTAATTTATTCTTTTTTGTTCAAATGGGCATTTTTTTTGTAATTTTGAATCCATAATTTGTATTTCTTGAGTGGCTCATTAGTAGCCACATGGTGTCAAATACTATATATACTGTATATATAC